ATTTAAAGAGTGCATTGTGGTATTTTCATCTATCTATACACTGTAGAAAGATTAAAATGAAATAGCTAATATATTCATTATTGCACTAACTTCCCTCCATCAGGTTTAAAACATACAGTATTAATAATCATGGTCTACCTGTAGTTCCATATGTCACTACAACTTATTCCTCTGGTATAACTGAAATGCTGTACTTTTTGATCAACATCTTTTCTTTTACTAGCTCTTACTCTTGCCCCAAACTCTGGTCCAAATCATTCTACTCTGTTTTTATGACATCACATTTTAAAATTTTGATTTCACATATAAATGAGATCATATGGTATTTTTTTCTCTGCTTGGATTATTTCATTTAGCACAATATCCTCCAGTTTCATCCACATTGTTACAAATGACAGAATTTCTATTTTAGAGTTTAGCATTCCACTCTACATATATGCTACTGTACACACAAACCACATTTCCTTTATCCATTTGTCTGCTGTTGTTCACATAAGCTGCTTCCTTATTCCGGCCAATGTGAATAATGCTGAAATGAACATGGGAGTACAGATGTCCCTTTGATATGCCAATTTCAATTCCTTTGCATATTTGCCCAGAAGTGGGGATGTTGGACTGTATAGTAATTCTATTTTGTTTGTTGAAGAAATCCCACATTCTCTTCCAAAATGGCTAAACAATAATATATTCCCACCAATAATGTACAAGGGCACTACTTCTGCACCATCAATGCCAAAATTGGTTATCATTCATGGTTTTGATAATGGCAATTCTAACATATGGAAGGTGTTAGCTCACTGTGGTTTTAATTAGCATTTCTCTGATGATTAGATGTCTTGAGAATTTTTTATCTATCTGTTGGTCATTTATATCTATTATTTTGGGAAATGTCTTTTCAAATTTTTTGCCTGTTTTTTTATTGGATTATTTGTTTTCTTGCTACTGAGTTATTTGAGTTTCTTATGTAATTTCAATATCAGCCCCTTATCAGATTGTGTTTTGCAAATATTTTCTCCCATCCTACAAGTTATCTCTTCACTTTTT